CTTAGTAGAGAAAGAAAGATGTAGATAATTAAAAGCGATACCTTTTTACTGTTCTTATCAAACACATGAAACAGGAAGTACATATAGATTCCAATAACCAGGCAAGACAAGAGCCACACTCTCAGAACCACCTGCTACATCATCTGAAGAGTCTATATGCCATCACACTCACTCACGAGGTGCTCAGGAGGTGCCACTGATGCAGCTGGCCTTGTGCTAGGGGTCATGGGGACACTGTAACGTGTTAGACACACCTCTGAGCACAAGGAGCTCAGTCATGGAGGGTTAGAGACCAAGAGCTGGACATATTACAGTAGCGTGTTTTGAGTATGGGCAGTACAAGGTGGATTAGCACTGTGTCTGAGAAGGACAAATGGTGGAATAATTAACCCTTCCTCAGGGCCAAGTAGGTGAAATTGATCGGGATCTCCTCTCACCACAGTATCTATGCTTAGAGCTGATTCCTCTTCAGCACATGATAAAACACCAACACCCTGTTCTGTGCTGCCAAGAACACCAACCCTTCTTCTCTACATCCCTGCTAAGGCTCCTGAAAGACCCACTCTGTCTCATCTCCGTCAATCTGAGATTATCCTTTGGACTCACTCATTTCCGTAAAATGTAAGAACAAGAAAGTTCCTAGTGTAAAAAAAGATATTAAATTACACCAAAATTGACTTAGGGGATGCCATAGCTAAGTGATCATATGCAACTAGTTTCCTAGGACAGTCCCAATGTACATCTGTTCATCCTACATAATTAAAATATATTCCAGGTAGGGCAAAAAAAAAAAAAAAGGTCACCTTACCCATCCCATGGGCAGGGCCTTCTCTCTTTTGAGATTGAAAGAACAGCTGGTCATAAGAATTAATATTTAGTGTTTTGCTAATATCCTCAACAAAATCAGGAAGGGGGTTAAGTTGTTCCAAGTTCCACATGTTAAAGTTCCTCCCCCGCCCCACCAGTATGTACCAAGTGCCTTCCCCTCCCACCATTCCATACTCTCTACATTCAGATTTGGTACAATTATGTGTCTTCTTTTCAAGTAATGTATTTTTGTCTTCCAGAATATCCAAGGTGACAACTAAGCAGATAAATTAATCCTCCCTCATGTACACAAAAGAAGACCCTTTCTCTCCTGGCTGCTCTGCCTTTTTAGGTGAGTTACCTCTTCTTGGCTGGCCCATTGGGGTTGTAACATCATACACCTACCTCAGCTTGTTCACTGAGTAACTCAACAGTGGGAATTTGGCTCTGTGGCAGCAGCTGGAAAGTGTTGTGACAGAGTCAGATTCCCAGCAGCTGCACTCCTACTTACTCTTTCAAGATGATGGGCTTGCCTTTCTCTGCCTCCTTCCTCAGGTTCCTCACCAACACATCTCCATACCGGCCAATGATGGAGAACATCTACACACAAAATACAACACCACCTGAAGTTAAATCTGAGAATCAAGTCCTAGGATGACATGGCTTTCACAAGCATGGACCAGTGATTTGTAATAACAAATCTTATCATGTCTCTTGTAGGACATGAAAAGATCATTTTTAGGAAAACCAAATTCAGCAGCCTACCCTTTAGAGATGGACTGTGATTTTATTTCCTACCTGCCCCCAGATGCATTCCTTAACTTTCTCATTGAAGATCACTCTTTTCTTACCTCCTTGAGCTTTCCACTAGTGAAGGCTGGAGACAGCAATGTTCGCATTCTCTTCCATTCTTCATCCTCAGATATAGAGATTGCACTTTTCATAAATCCCACTGGACCAAGAGGCTAGAATCAAAGAAAAACACAATTTGCCCTACATAAGTTTTGGAGGTCTCAAAGGTTGTGGAAAATTTGTTAAACAGGCAGAAATTATTCAACAAATATTTAGTGATTATCAACTTAGTAGTAGGCCCTACGGTAGGTGATTAACAGATACTTATCCCAAATGCCTAGCCTCCCGCAAGGCTGAGGACACATCCAGCCACCTGATGTGTTTTCCAGCCTTTGTATTCCATCTCTTTTCAACATAAATGTGGTATGGGAAAATTTGGCAGGGAAACTACTCCTCCAGGGGAATACAGAGGATTAACACCTAGTGCATTCTCCTAAGCTGGGCAGAGTAGAATTGGATTGGTAGAAGGCAGCCAGATAGCCTGGAAAACTGTATGTTGCCTCAGACCAGTTCTGCCTTTACATATATCCACAGCATGAGAAATGGATGTCTTGATACGGTGATTTTTTTAAAAAAATTGTAGTTAACACTAAAAAGATGAGGAATCTATTTGCTCTTGTGAAGAAATGATACAGTAACATGGAAATCTCTTGTCCCTGTATTTTCCCCAAAGGGACATAAGGAAAAAGAGAAACAATTCTCTCTTCAATATATCATCTGGGGACTGGCCTAGCAAGCCAACCAGTTTGAATATTTCTTCCATTTTCCAAAACTATATTTTGTTTTAAAATGGATATCTCCACGGCTAAAGTTAACAACTCAGGGAACAACAGATGTTGGCCAGGATGCAGAGAAAGGGAACCCTCATACACTGTTGGTGGAAATGCAAACTGGTGCAGCCACTCTGGAAAACAGTATGGAGGTTCCTCAGAAACTTAAAAATAGAGCTACCCTATAACCCAGCAATTGGACTACTAGGTATTTATCAGAAGGATACAAACATAGTGATTTTAAGGGGCACATACACCCCAGTGATTATAGAGGCAATGTCCACAATTGCCAAAATATGGAAAGAGCCCAGATGTCCATTGACAGATGAACAGATAACTAAGACATGGTATATATATATATATATAATGGAATATTACTTAGCCATTAAAAAGAATGATATCTTGCCATTTGCTACAACATGGATGGAACTAGAGGATATCATGCTAAGCGAAATAAGTTAACCAGAGAAAGCCAATTATCATATGATTTCACTCCTATGTGGAACTTAAGAAACAAAACAGATGAACATAGGAGAAGGGAAGGAAAAATAAAATAAGATGAAAACAGAGAGGGAGGCAAACCACAAGACACACTTAACTATAGGGAACAAACTGAAAGTTGCTGCCAGGGAGGTGGCTAAAGGAATGGGGTAACTGGACGATGGGCATTTAGTAATGGAGTAATGAGCGCTGGGTGTTGTATGTAACTGATGAATCACTGAATTCTACCTGTGACACTAATAATACAGAACATGTTAATTAAATTTAATTTAAATTAAAAAATATTTTTGTCATATGTGTTTTATTTTTATTTTTTCCCATATACCTTTTTACTTTTTTTATTATGTTCACTTAGCCACTGTATAGTACATAATTAGTCCTTGATGCAGTGTTCAGTGATTCATAAGTCAACTATAACACCCAGTACTCACCACAGCACGTGCCCTCCTCAAAATAAAAAATAAAATGGATACCTCCAACACCATCTCATGATAAAAACTCACAAACTAGGAAGAGAAGGAAAGTTCCTCAACTTAATAACGAGCATCTAAATACCCTACAGCTAACATCACCTCAGTGAGGAAAGACTGATATTATGTCACTAAGATGATGGAACAGGACACTCCAGCCTCTGTCACCCCACAAAGAACAATTAGACAGCTATCCACAAACAAAAATAGGCCCAAGAGCTTAGGAGTCCATTGAAGAAGCTTCAACAACACAGTGGAGAAAACTCCAGAGAATATCTGCACAAAAAATAGTAAGGAAAATAACTTCATTTTGCCTGCATCACCCCATGACCCAGGCCAGCACTGCTCAGCACCAAGAGGACACTCCCTGACTGAGACAGTTCCCCTTCCTGGGGAACAGCAGAAGGATGGGCAACCATTAGCCCTAGTCCTTCAGAACGTGGCACAAATGACCTGTTCTGGTTTCAAACCTCCCAGAGAACTGGCATGGCTGACATCTAGACACAGCTAGGAACAAAGAAGAGCAGAACTACCAGTATCAGTCAAGTGGCAGGAGTGACCATGTTTCTCTGTGTCCTGCTCTGCAGAAGACCCTAGCAGCCTTTGCTGCTGAGGAACCAACAGCCAGTACAGCACTGTGCACCCTCTAAGATTTTGCTGCTGATAGTCCCACAGGTTTTCACAATTGCAGACTCCAGCTGCCTCAGTCCTGCTGTGTCCCATCTGTACTCACTGGAGTTGCCTCAGCCAGTGCCACCACCAACATTGTGAGCCCCAGAATCTACACCACCAGCCAGTTTGGCCTCTGTAACTCAGCATATGGACAGCACAAGCCCAGGCCCCAGCAGCTTTCAGGTGCCTGAGGTCAGGCCTGACTCCTGTCACTGGACTGCACTGCCACATGAGACCACAGCTAAACCCTGAAGCTGTACACCTTCACACGGCCGGCCTGAACTCCACTCACGAGCCCCCACTGCTGTGCATGCACTACTGGCTAGCCCTGAGCCACGTGAGTGCACACAGACAACCCAGACACTCAAGGCTCCCTGTGTGCCCACAGTCGGACAGTCCCCACCACTGGCACTAGCTCTGTTTTGGGCATGAGCCTGCTTTCAGCCCCTACAGATGAGTGTGTGCATAGCACCAGCTCTTGCCACCATTCTCCTTCCCCAGCCTCCTGGCACTGGATCTGGTGGTGCTGCTGAAGACCCCAACAGCCACTGCAGCCACAAAGAACCCTCCACTGCTCTCGCTGCCAAGGATCATGCAGTTGCTGAAGTTGTGGCCCCCAACTGCCTGAACCAATCATGCCCTCCTGATTATTTTAAATTATCCAGTCAGAGTGAGGTACAAAAATGAAAAGAATTGGGAAGAAAACCTACAGGACTTGTGGGACACCAACAAATGAAACAATATTCATATTATGGGAGTCCCAGTAGGTGAGGAGAGAAGTGGACAGAATGTTTACTGAAAGAAACAATGGCTGAAAATTTCTCAAACCTAGGGAAATGTATGGACATCTTGGGACATGAAGCTTAAAGTCCCCAATAACATTGAATCTGAAAAGACTTCTCCAAGAGACATTATAATAAAACTCAAAAATTAAACCCAAAGGAAAAAATCTTGAAAGCAACAAGAGAAAAGGAGCTCATCACATACAAGGGCACATCGTGGGCTGTCAGTGGATTCCTCAGCAGAAAAGGTGAAAGGCAGAAGACAGTGGGTGATTTATTTTTTTTAAAGATTTTATTTATTTATTTATTTGGCAGAGAGAGACACAGTGAGAGAGGAAACACAAGCAGGGGGAGTGGGAGAGGGAGAAGCAGGCTTCCCGCCGAGCAGGGAGCCCGATGTGGGGCTTGATCCCAGGACCCTGGGATCATGACCTGAGCTGAAGGCAGACGCTTAACGACTGAGCCACCCAGGTGCACCTGGTGATTATAATTATTACTAATGTACTATATATTTGACATTTAAAAGTAGATTTTACATGTTTTAATACACACACACATCGGGCTGCCTGGGTGGCTCAGTCATTAAGCTCTGAGTTTGGCTCAGGTCATGATCCCAGGGTCCTAGAATCAAGCCCTGCATCGGGCTCCCTGCTTAGCAGGGAGCCTGCTTCTCCCTCTCCCACTCCCCCTGCTTATGTTCCCTCTCTTGCTCTCTCTGTCAAATAAATAAATAAAAATCTAAAGAAAAAAATACACACATACACAAAGAAACTCTGGGTGGTGATAGATATATTAATTCATTTGTCATAATCACTTCACAATGTACACACAAATCAAAACATCACAGTTAAATATATACAGTGTTCACTCTAAATAGATACATATATAAATATTTAAATGGTAAAAGACTGAATGCTTGCCCTTAACATCAGGAACAAGACTAAATGTGTACTCTCACCACTCTTATTTAACATCTTACTAGAAATCATAGCTAGTGGAATAAGACAAAACAAAGAAATAAAGGCATAAGATTGGAAAAATAAAAATAAGAGTGTCCCTATTTCTAGTTCAGGTGACATAATTGTTAATGTAGAAAATCTTAAGGAATATAAAAAAGAACACCTCTGATTCTAAAAAACGAGCTAAGCTAGGTTGTAGGAAACAAGATCAACAGAAAAATCAACCCTGCTTCTATATAATAACAAGAATATGTCAAAGCACAGTAAAAACACAGTAACAATTATAATCACACAAAGAAAGTGAAAACTTTAGATGTATATTTAACAAAACATATATGGCCTTCCTGTGCTGAGAACTAAATGTTGGTGAAAAGAATCAAAGAAAACCTAAATAAACACACATTGCATTCATAGATTGAAAGACCTGACTTAGGAAAGGTACAGATTTTCCGCATATTGATGGATAGGTTTAAGTCATGTATTACAAAAGCCCAGCAAATATTACATAAACATAGATAAGCTAATTCTAAATTTGTATGGAAAGGCAAAGGAGCTAGAATACCTAAAACAATTTCAACAACAACAACAACAACAACATCAAAAAATGGGAGGAATCACTGCTCATGATGCTGACTTATTATATGGCTACAGTAATCAAGAGAGCCTGGCATTGGTGGAGGCAGAGATACAGAGATCAATGAACAGAACAGAGAATGAGAAATAGACATACACACATATAAGCCAACTCAATTTTGATACTGCTACAAAAGCAATTCAGTGGAGGAAGTATAGCCTTTTCTTAAATGGTGCTGGAGCAATTAGACATCCATAGGCCCAAAACAAGGATCTTCGACCTACACTTCACACCTCACAATTAACACTAAAAATTGACACAAAATGGATCACAGACTTAAATGCAAAACATAAAACCATGTAGGATTTACATTATAAATATAAAA